GCCTGCCGGAGGAGGTCCGCCAACCTAGAAGAGAACACACTTTAGAGTGCCCATGTCTGTATGAAGTGTCCGGTCTCACGGATCGGCTGTTGCAGCACAGTCAGATAAAGCTTTGTTGCAAAATCACATCTTTATTGACGCGGCTTTGTTAAATTCGTGCCCATCTGGCATTCTGTCCGTGATCGTGGGGACTGAGCACAAGTAAGAGCAGGTAACTGGGATTGTTAAATGAGATTCACATCTCTGACAAGTCCAGGAAAGCATCAAAATGAATTAGAGAAGGGAATTATTTAATGTAAATTGCTTGGCATGGTATCTTCTATCTGCAGATGGTAAAGGAAAGAGTTAAAAAGGAATGAAGCATCTCTCAGTACATCATTTCTCTAGAAGAGACGTTTATTCTGTCATGAGAGTAGCCGGGTAAACACCTAAATGATAATGATTCCATGTTCATGCTGGCTAAGCTACAACTCTGCATGTTCTTTCTTGTCTTCACCACTTTTCTCCTTGATTTTTTCAGGCACTGTCTTTGTCCAGAATTCCACTCGCTTTTTTTTCAGTTGCTTTGCTTTCTTCTGCTCTAGATTTATCTCTAGGTATCCTTCATCCAGGTTATAAGATGGCCATTCTGCCAAACCTTCCCCATTTGGGTTTCTGGAAATAGAGTAAATCCCCTATTTAATCTGCAGAGGCACTTACCCACAGCTGCACACACACTTTTGACCAATGTTTCATGAATCTCACCCATTTCGAGCAAAGTTAGCCCAATATTTCATTAGAGTTCTGCTGAGGCGCTTTTCTTCCTCTGTAGCTTCATCTGGGGGAAAGAAGAGGAAAGAATAACCGTACCGTGTAGAAGAAAGTAAAAAATAAATTAAATATTCACTGCATGAAGGAGTAGAACCCAGCTGTCCCAAAGAAGCGTCCCACCCACATGAGGTATTAAGGTGGGTCTCCACTGTCCCTGCAGTTGGAGCCATTCCACTTGAATAACATACTTAAATATCCATTGAGCCACAGGGGAAGAGCAAGAGTAACTCTGTAGACTGTGGGGAGGGCATTCACATGCTGGGAGGGATCTGGGTTCTGGTCCCTGCAGTAGTGACTATTATTTTATACAGAAACAATGTCAGCAATAGTGAATGCTGAGTGGCTGATAGTGGTTAGGCATAGGTGGAGGGAGAAAATATTATTTGGGGAGGGGTTGAGCACATGAGCATTTGCACACATGCACCCCCCTAGCAGGTAAGTCTGTCATGGGGAAGGGGTGTATGGGGGCAGATTGAGGCCCCTGCAGGTGAGGGAGGGAGTGGGGCAGAGGCAGGGTGGGGCTGGGGTGAATGGGGTTCCTGGGTCAGGGCAGATCATGGGACACTCAGAGCCCAGGTGGCTCGCCCAGGGGCATGTGGGGGCAGGGGGGCGGGAGGGCAGGGAGGGACTCCCCTGGTAG